ATTTTCATAACAGAATACAGCTGATATATAACAAGCCAAGTAACACCAAAAACTCCTTGGGATTTGGCTTCCTCTGGAGGAATTCCCTGATTCCTCCAGGTAATGACTTTGCCATAACCAGCTGAGTTCTTATGATATTCCTGCGGCCCGCAGCAGATTTAAGGATCTGGTTTTTAAATACTTATTTTATTGACAGCAGGAATTAAATGACACAAAGTTAGTGATATATATATATTTTTCCAGACAGTGTTTCTCTGTGTAGTTTTGGTGCCTGTCCTGGATCTTGCTCTGTAGACCAGGCTGGCCGCAAACTCACAGAGATTCTCCTGGCTCTGCCTCCCGGATGCTGGGATTAAAGACATGCCACCACTGCCCAGCAAAGTTGGTGATTTGAGAGCTTGCCTTTACATTCATTATGAAATTCTAACTAGAGTATACCAGTCATTTTTTTTTAAAGAGTCTCACTATGTAGCCCCTGGCTGGCCTAGAACTCACTATGCAGATAAGATTGGCTTTGAACTCAACAAAGACCCACCTGCCTCTGTCTCCCATGTGTGCTGATACTAAGGCATCTGTCACCACACTGGCTACTTTGTGTTTTGATGTAGATAATCTATTTAGTCCTTGCTCAGAAAGGGAAGTACATTACATATTACTAAGTGCCTGATAATGAGCTAGGTGCTTTGATAGTTTCTGTTTTTAGGAATCTTTATGATAAGTCTGGGAAGTAGTACTAAAGATGATTACTACCTAGAAGATAGTGTGTGTAAATGAAAGACATAGAAAACCAGAATGATTCAGAGTCTTCAGGAATAAACTCTAAAAGCTATTTTCTTGCATCTTCTTGTGATAAAAGAGAGTAAGTTGGAGCAGGAATAATTTCCTGACTTCTCAATGCCTAGTAATTTTGGCCTCGGAGAATGTGATATTTTCCTCTCTTGAATCTTTACCCAGAAGGCCTTGTTATCCATCCCATGGTGATAATCTAATATATTCTTGGCTAGTATATGAACTGAACTTTTTCCAATAACATGGTTCTTTGTAAAATACTCATTTTTGAAAGAATAAATATAAATGTCTCTCTAGAATTATGACATGGAGTTTTAACTGAGCTAAAATTTTGACCTTGAAGGTTGCCAATTTTATCTCTTTTTGCATTCTGCTTAGTGTCCTTCTACATTAGCAAGCAAAAATAACGATACCTTAAGTACACGTCTGTGTATTTGAGAGTGGTCCACTCTTTGGAAGTGTGGAGACTGAGAATGAGAATGAGGGTGTTACTCCTAGTCTTGTCTTTCTGGTGCTTTGCTTCTTAGAACTTTACAGACACAACTAATGCTATTAGTTAGCGGCAGACAGAAAACAACGGCAGATCAGAACGTGCCTTTGCTAAAATATTTTTATTAAAAATTATCTCTACCCTGTGTTATAAGCTGTAATTCATTATTGCACAGAACTTACTCTGTAGATAGTAGGTATTGTTTCCATACCTTATTTTTTAAATTAATTTTCCCATGGCTGATTTAGATACTTTGGTAGTTTTAAAATGCTTCTAATTATATGTGGAACCATACATGCCAGAGTTATTAGTTTATAAATGTATACATATCCTTTTATATGTGAAACCATACAGCCAGAGTTATTAGTTTATAAATGTATACATATCCTATTATATGTGGAACAATATATGCCAGAGTTATTAGTTTATAAATGTATATATATCCTACTATATGTGGAACTGTACATGCCAGAGTTATTAATTTATAAATGTTTGTGTATCTTAAGAAAAGCAAAAGCCGAGAGGCCTGTCCTGTCCTTCTGTCTGTGAATTTGACCACTGTTGCTATGGTAATTGCTGAATTAGAAGGCCAGTGCTTGACTTTTGGCTTGCCCTAGAAGTGTGGAGTGGGCAAGAAGTCAAGAATGTGGCCTTGACTGCGTTGCTTTTTTAATGTGCTAAGTGCACCTCCATGAAATCATCCATTGCTCTCGGGGAAAGGAAAAGACAATCGAGCCCGTTACATTACTGAAATTAGTATGTACCTTCTGAGAGCCACGGCAGCGCTGGTGCCAGGAATGGTTTGTG